TACGTCAAGAATCGCACACACCATTTCACTCGCAAGTAAACCATACCCTATGTACTTCGTACACCGTTCCTGGTATAAAACTTTACTTACAGGTTTTCCTTTTTCATATAATTTTGTTTTATTTATACTACAGTAAATTGATAAAAAAATAAATTTAATCAGGTAGAGTCCAGAATTGATTTTATTTAAAATTAAACAGATAACTAAACAATTATTCAACTTAGCTAGTGATAATTTTAAGATACTATTAGCAATTTATTTTTATTTGTTTTTTAATCATTGGCCTTTGAATACTTGAATTGTGCCAATAATAACGTGATTTGAACGAAAAATTATTACCAATATAAATTATAAAATAAAGTTATTTGATTGGTTTTTTATTCGTTGATAAATTATAGAAACAAATAAATACCGCTATTTATACATTATTTATGCAATAGAAACTAGAAACAAATAAATATCGTTATTTATATAATATGCAATTAAAACAAGAGTAATTCAGTTACTTCGTTAAATTACTAGTTTTTCCACATAAGGAAAACCCGTTATTATTACCCCATGTTCCCCACATTTCGCTTCTTCTCATCAATCCATTATAAATCCATGATTGTGCGGCAACATATTGTTTGGTAAAGTTAACCGAACCATTAACTGACATGTGTCCTTGAATTGTAAACTTCCCAACTTTGTCTATGCCATTGGATCCAAAAATCGTATTACCGCCAGCTGGATTGCTTTGTACAGTTAGATCAATTGACATTAGATCGTTACCGTTATTCGGGTTATAAAAATAATATCCACACCACTTTCCTGTGAGTGATTGTTTTTCAATCTTGGGAACCCGTCTAATAATGAATTTTCCAAGATTCGGCTGGCTAGGAGTGCCCCAATTTCCAAAAAACATCTTGTGAGAGTAAATGCCTTGATAGTGCCAGACTGCGTTATTATTACAATTGATATAACGTTTAATAAATGTGATAGTTTTTGATGATAGATTATGCTGGCCTTGCTCGATGATATAAGGACCCAATCCATCCTTTCCGCTAGCGGAAACAAGAGAAATCCAATTGTTAGGATGCTGTCCTAAAAATGTTAATTCTATAGTTGACAAGTCTGGCTGATTCATTCTATCTGTGTAAAATATAGAGTATTGACCATTCCACCAACTCGATGTAAGATGATTTGTAATATCAAGATTGGGATCTAAATATTGATTTGAAAAAAGTGATTGTAAATGTATGATAAATTTTGTTTGATCGTTAAATGAAACTTACCAACAGTCAATGGGTATTCACGACCATCTATCTGAGAGAAATTAGACAAAAGATCTTGGTATTCCATAAAGAAGGTACCATCATTTCCGAAGGAATAATCCAATTCGTTTATTCTAGTTGATGTTCCTTTATTTGTCCATGGCCACCAGATTTGATCAGAATCTGCCCATCGACCTATGAAAAAGAATAGTAAACGGAATTAAGTGAAACAATTTCCAAAAAAATTAATTGAGTTGTACTTACCCTTCCATTCAGTATTCGCCCATGGATTACGAATTTTGACCAACATATTACTGTGGAAATTTACGGCACGAAGAATGGTGTATACATGATTCCCGACTAAGCCATCTGCTCCGACGTCAGTCGTTATTTCAGGTTTTTTTTAGTTTCGCCATGAACACAAGTAAATATTTTGCGTCCATTATTAATGGAAAGAATCGAATCCCATGATTTAATATCTCATTGTATGTCAATACCACCTAGACTCGTAAGTGCTAAAGACGGCCAATTACCGTCAAGACTTTCGTAACTATAATGAATTTTGGCAAATGCCTCTGAATACAATTTATTATTGTTAGTATGTTTCTAGTTACTTAGCAGTTAATTAAAATTAATTAAAAGAAATACAGATTTACTTTCGAGAAGCGGAACCCAAGTTACATTTCCGTCGCTATGAATACATATATCATATTGTTGGTTATGAAAATGGATATGTGAACTTTATTAAAAATTTTTTTGAATTACCTGAATACTAATTCGTTAGAATTACTGTTATAGAACAAATAGTCATCAACTACAGTACCAATCCAGTTCTTCTTGAAGAATATAAAGCCATATATCTACATAGTTTTGTTTATTATGAATTGTTAAATTACGATTTTGATTATTTAGGATAGATAACGTTTCTAACTACTTACTCCAAGATTTTCATTGTATTCGACAGCAATAGAATTGATAAGACCTTCAACTTGTGCGGCTCCAGAAAGAACGGCGAGATACCAACAGTCTCCAATTTGACCTAAAATATTTGTGTTATTTGCTTTAGTAAAATCGTTACTGTGTAAGAAGTTTTCTATGAATAATTACCTTGCTTAACATCGTCAGGACTCGTACGACCCCGTACTCCAGCATAGAATCGTCGATTTTGATTTTGGATACGCTTAGACATTGTCATTTTTGGATCATACTTAAAAAATGAGCTCGAACTGGGACTATCATTTTTTTTATAAAGCGCTTTTAACGGGCGTTCTTTAATGTTCCATTCATTGTCTGTAAATTCGCTTCCCTGGTTTCTAACTCGGGTTCTAATTTGTTGGATAACGTCATTACGGTTAGATCCAAAAAAAATGGTGTCCGTATTTTGATTTCTTTTCCATTTTGATATATGGTCATCTGTAGCCATTGATAATATATGAAGGTAGGCGCGTATAATGGATCAACTTATATAGTTGCGCAAAAAAAAACTATTAATAAAATAATAAGATTAATAAACGTTCTTAGATATTGTAAAGATTGAAAACATACCGATACGTTTAGTTTACAAGACTGCAGGAAGTTTAGTTTGTGCTATTTATACGGTGTTATTATCGGATTTCGGGAGAGCGTCAGTAAGTGGGCCGAGTTTAGATCAGCGATAGTGAACGAAAGGGATATTGGACAAACAATATGGGTCAAATAAATCAAGATTTAATATAGAAAGGGATCGTGAAGATGTAATCACGGTAATAACCCAAAATAGAGTATATAATAATATGACGTATATAAATAATAAAGATAAGAGATACAATCACCCGAGAGTCATATGCAATAAGATAGACACAACAATAGATGAATGAATATGCGCGCAAGACTAATACTATGTATAACAATTCATTAACAGACAAAACGAATAAGAGATACGATATAAATAAGATTCACTCGAACAACCTTTATTTATAAAGGGGGAATACTCCAGATCTAACCTCTACGTAGAACCAAAACCTATTGATAAGCAAAGCGAACATGAGTTGTTTATATACATTAAGGATATTCCGTAGAATACGTGGAATGAATTTCCTTTAATGTCAGGGGAATCTATCTAAGACACAATATCATTGAAGTCATTGATGAAGTTTGTACAGTCTCATTGGTCAATGATGTGATCAAGGTCTTGACTAACTAAACAATCCTTCAACGTCTTCCCTACCAATTAACATATATCATAAATGGAAGCAACGGAAATTGGTTTATCGTATGCTAAAATAGGAATATAGTAGCATGAATCCGTCAATCATTGTATGGCATGTAACAAAGGTATGTATTTTACGCATTTGTCGTTTGTTTTTGGTTGTCACGTTTCGCCTTTAAAATGTGTAAGTACGTATGTACGTACTGTACATACGGTGCAAGAAATCTAACAACCATAATTGTACCTTTTAGAAGCAAAAATAAACACTGAAATCAAATATTTCCTAAATCAATAAAGTGTATATGTATGTACTGTACGTACGGTGCAGGAAATTTAAAAACCTCAATCACCATATTAGGATAATACATAAACTACAGTAGTAACTCATTAAAAAATACATTTCTTAAATTATCAATCTCAATAGCATAAACTATGTAGTAACTAAAAACAAATTTCTTAAATTATCAATCTCAATAAAGTGATGGACATAGAAATAATACTCCAAGAATAATACGTACTTAATAGGATCTGTTTTATGCATGCGGCTAGAACTTAAAATAAGCCGCTACTGAATTTGGCTTATATCCAATGTGCTGTCGTTTTTATTCTATATAAATTGATTGGGATTTTTAGATTTTCTGCACTGTACGTACGTACGTACGTAAATACTTTATCTGTTATTGAAGTCGATAATTTAATAAATAATTTGATTTTAATGTGATACTTGATTATCTGCTTGGCGTAATCTGTAATGTAATAATCAAGTTGCACGGGAATATAATTTCACTGTTTATACTTTTTCTATAACAGTATTTATTATAACTATTTATATGCGATTTATCCTGTGTCTAATTGGTCATTAACTGAAATATATCACTAATAATTTTAATAGTTCTTTTTTTTACAACTATCTATTTAATGAATCTATTTATTGGATTGATGTTAAATTTTATTAATGAAACAAATAAAAAAGAAATATTTTTACTCCAAAGAGCAAAGATAATATTTTATTAAACTATTAGTATTGTAATAACTTTATTTTTAAACTATAATATTAATTGTATTTTTAAATAGATTTTATCAGAAATAGAATTATTTTATATGCTATCATATTAACATGAAAAAAATAATTGGTTTTCTGAGCTTATGTAAATATTAATTTATTGTAATTTATTGCAAAATTCTTGTTATATATATATATAATATTTATATAATTTTAATATTAATTAATATTTAAAGATTTTTAATTTTAGTCTTGACAAACTTTATGATATAGCTACTAAATACAAGATAATAATTGGATAAGCTATTGAAAAACTATTCCTTTCTAATTCATTATTATGAATCATTCACATAGGTAAAACAGAAACAGAAATAAGACAAATAAAGAAAATTAAACAATTAATAAATATCAAAAATAAGATAATTCAAAATTGCAAGATAATAAAATAATTCAAGAGCTAAAAAAAATTTTATTAAAAGAGGTAGATTAGAAATTAATTATTTGTTAAAATACCAAAAAATTATTTGATAGCGTGTAAGGTTGTTAGATCACATAATTCATAAAATTTTGTTTTTATTTTATTTTTATTTTATTTATTATTTTATTTATTTTATTTTTATTATTTAAAAATTATTTAAAATATAGTGCAATTATAATATGAATAAAACAATTAAATAAAGTAATAAATATAAAATCTTTTTATTTTAGTACAGTACTAGACAGCAAAAGAATCTTTTTTTTCAAAAATGTTAAATTTAAGAATTATATAATCAATTCCAATTGGTTAATTTGTGTATAATTAATTCTGATTAGTTAAAAATATATATTGACAGCTTTTTTTATATAGTAAATACTAAATTTTTAATTATATATAAACTTTAAGCTATAATAACTTTTAATCTTATAAGATAAATAAAGATCTATTCTTACAGAATTGTAGCTTAGACTAAAACAACAAATCTTTAAGATAGACTTTTTTAAAGTTATTTGGGCTTTTATAATAATTTTTATATTTTATATATAAATATTAAATGTTTTTTGCTATTTAAAACTGTATAAAATTTTATATATATGACTAAGCTGAAGAATAAAGTAAACCTTTTAAATCTTACTATTTGAATTTTAATTCTAGATCTTTAATTCAACTAGATTTTAGATTGAAAATTTATTATTACTTAGCATTTCTAATTAATTTTAAAATTTTAATTCAAATAATATCTTTATTTTTATTTATGCAATATATGATTTTATATTATATTAATTAATAAATTAATAAAATATTATAAAAAAATTAATTTTTGAATATATAATATTCTAAAAATAGAGAAGCTATTAATTAAAGAATTATTAATTTAACTTAGTAAATTAAATTAAACATAATCTTATAATATAGATATTAATTACTATTTATAAAATACTTGTTAAATCATATAGTTTATTATTAATACTAGCTAAATTGGGATATTTGACAAACTGATTAATCTGATTCTATTCTTAAACTTTTATTAAATTAATTATAATTAAGATTTTTAAAATATAATATAGTATCAAATTTTTAATATTAATAAATTACATAAATGATTTGCAAATTAGCTACAGTACAACTTGTCAAAACTAATCCTGTTAAAACTGATAACCTTCAATAACTGATAAGAAGTTGATCCACCATATTGGTTCCGTAATTCAAATCTGATAACCTGTCATTTCTGATAACCGATACTCAAAATATCAGATATCTATAAGATATCAGATTTGT